GCAAATTTTGGATAATGGTTTTTGTAAACAATGCAGTTATTGTCTCTTTTAATTATTAAAGGATTTTTTAAAGTTGTGATCTTAAGAATGCCTCAATTATATATTTTTAAAATATAGTAAATTATTTTTTCCTTTTGTCTTATAATAATAATTAAAAAATGCAATACACTGTTAACGCATTAACTCGTGTCGTCTAAAAAAAAAGACTATTATATCACGAGAATATATACCTCGAATCCAAAAAGAGAACAGCACAAACTGGAGAAATCAATAGGAAAAGAGATTGTAATTTCCTATTGATTTGTGCTGAAATCAATAGGGAAATCAATAGGAAAGTAAAGAGATGGATTTGTTATTGAAAGAACACTGAATTTTACTCCCAAGTTTTGTTCTAGCTACCCTGTACTTTTCCCTCTCAAGTCTCAACCACCACCACCTGCCTCATTTTCATTTCCCTTACACTAACTCCTCCATGTCCATCCAATCTCTTCACCAAAATAAATAAATAAACAAATAAATAATAGCCCAAGAAAAATGAAAATAAGACACCCAAGTTTCCATTCTCCTAAAATCTCATTAATTATCAATAGTTACATAATTAACTTACATTAACCCAAAACAATCCTCTGATGAATTTCAAAACACCAAAACTAGAGGATAGATAATACTCCAAAACTCAACAATCCATGGAAGGCAAAGTTAGAGACTTCGCACATCATGCATGATTCATATTAGCTAACACTATGGCATATAAAAATTGCCAGAAATTTCTGCCACTTCGTACTCCTCCCTCTGCTGTTACTCTTTAATCTTCAAATCCTGTTTTCTTCCAAATCGCGTTCCTCACCTGACTTAAATCTCTGCCCTTGAGAGTACGTCCTATCCCTTCATGAACCGAAAACGACGCTCCTCTCCTCCGCGCCAGGTACTCGTGTGGCGGAACCCGCCCGTCGTGATCCTCGTCTCCATCGTCGGCGTCGTCTCCATCATCGTCGCTGTCTCTGTTTTTGTGATCCCTGTACTCCCCTTTCAGAATCTTGGACCAGTCCGGTACGTTCATCGGCACCGACGACGCCGCCACCCGGTCGCTCAAATCACCAGTTCTGGTGTGTTTCTTGGACGAACGTAGAGTGGGTAATTGTTGTTTTTTCCCCTCCTGGGTCATTTCGTTGAAACTGCTCCAGAGATCAGCTTCGTCCAGCTCAAAATGATCGGTGGTAGTGGATGGGTTGTTAGACTCCGAGGTGGGGTACATGTAGCTGGGTTTAGAGAGGAAGAACGTCTTCCTGGACGCCATTGATGAGATCAAGAAAGCCCCTCCTTTTTTTTTCTTTTTTTTTTTCTTTTTGAAGAAAGTGATAAATGGGCGTGGTTTTTAGAGTGTGCAGAGTGTATTAATCGTCGACAGAGTTGCGTTTTTATAGTGGTTGGAGTGGATAAGTTCGTCCGCTTTCATAACCAAGTTGCCAGTTACAAACTGACATTTGCTAAAGAGCAGTGCTAGGGGCACTCGCTCTTTGCACTCTCCGGCCAACACTTCCCCTTTCATTGGGCCACGTAAGCTTCTTTAAAACTTTCAGCGCCACCTCTTTCAGACCAAAATAACGTGGCCCAATAAAAGAGAAAGTGTTCGCCGGAGAGTGCAGGAGGCGAGTGCCCCTAGCATTGCTCTTTTGTAAATTTTGCTACGAAGCGGGCGTGCTCATGTTCATCCACCTTCGTACTTTTATTTTGTTGACCTGCTTTGTTTAGAAACATCTTTGCTATTTAATTTTTGAGTTTTTATGTTTTATTATTATTATTATAATAATAAAATAAAATTATATAAACTATTAATTAAAATAAAAATTAAATATATTTTTATATATTTTTAAGAAATTAAAAAAATTAAAAAATTGCAATTATAACAATAATTTAACACTTCTAAATTTTCTAAATTTAACTTAAGGCACTGTTTAGTATAATTATAGTTTTATATTTTTAATTTTTAATTTTATAAAATTTTCAATTTTAAAAAAATTC